TGTGGAGCAGTGATGTGATATCATAACTGCGGAGCAATGGAATGACATCATGATTGTGGAGTAGCAAGATGACATCATAGTTGTGGAGCTAGAATGATGTCATGACTGTGCAGACTGTGCAGTGACTGTTAAAGATCATTCTGGTGTTCTGGAAGAATGTGTGCAGCATTAACCCAAATGGTGTTGAATAACTAATGAATGTAAAATGTTAAGTAGAAGTATTAATGATAGTGTTCATAGTTGGTTACAGAAGAAAAAAGATTGGGTGTATAGGATTTAGATCTGGGTCATAAGAATAAGGTACTAAAATATAACAAAAAACATGGAATACACACTGCTGCATGCCTCCACGCAAAATTTCCCAACATAAAGTCTGCCCAACGGCACTGTCCAGCTCCATTGAGAGAGCTCAGAAGGAATGGATGAGCAGATTGTGCTATCAGATTAAGGTGTGTTTTACGCTCTTTGAATTTTCCCAATGCTCATTGTTCGCAGTATTATCTTGTCTGCTGCAAACTTGTCGCCAGGTCATCGCATTGCATGGTGGACATTGTGGCCTTGCCAGCACAACCTAGTATCTTCATTATTCAACTCTTATTAGCCTATATACAATAATACCAGTGTTTCCGTTGTCGAATGAATCTCTATAAACGTGGTATAACCAGGGTATAAATGCTGTGGTGTTAGAAACCAGCACTGTGTATGATTAGAAATAAGGACTGCATAATCGCCTATGCCAGTTACGCATGCCCCCCCATCAATCATATGGGTCCTGATGTGTATGATCGCATATAAAATGTATGAGCTTATACGGATCATAGACTTTGGAATTTGCTGATGTAAGACCAAAATACAATGTGATACAAGCTTAAAGAGACCCGTGCCTACGTCACGGAGGTATCCCTAGTACATGCAGTATTTGATTAACCATTTAGAGCTACAAAATTTGAATAATTTCAAGGTTAATCTAGTTTTATCCACTTTCTCTACCACCCGTGCTTTGGTGCTACTGTCTAACTTGTTAGGACATACTCTGTATGTAGGTGTTCAGTCGTTTCAACTATATGTTGTACTGTTGTACATACATTAGATTACCCAATTCAGTTGCTTGTTTTCATATGTCATCATTGTTTTCCCTCAGTGGGTCCACCGCTCATTGTAACAGGCCTATTTTCAAAAACACTGAGATTGGAGCCCACAATTTTGGTACAGAAATCAATAGGTATTAGGTACTGAATTAATAAGGATATTTCTCCCTCCCCCCCCATTGAACCTTCCAAACCCTTCACCTTCCCCTTACTCTTGCATTGACCCATGGCAACATCAGGATCAGCATTATGGGTACTACTACTGTAAGGCCTCAGACCTCAGACATAAGCTATACCTCATTCTATTGCAGTAATAGGCGAAATACGGGTAATCTGAGGGTAAGAGGTTTGTCATTATGTAATAGCGGCACCACTATGTAAGGGGGGGTAGGGGCCGATGGGCCGTAGCCATTACACATTCCCCCCAAATTGAACCCACAGCTCAATTTTATCAGAATAAGGATAGAAAATGAGAAAAAAATTCCAAAAGTGTGAAATCCAAAATGGCGAAGGCCCCCACATTCCCCCCCAGATTGACCCCACAGGTCCATCTTATAGAGAAAGAAAGAGGAAGGGGAGAGAGGAAGATGGGGAAATTGAAAACATGAAAGGGAAACATACAGTTATCTAATGGGTAGTGTACGTTGAAGGATTTTGGAAATTTCCATAAGCGCAGAAGATGAACATATGTCCTGTGAAAATTGTTGCAGTCTCTGGACACTGAATGAAAGTCCAGAGCGAGATGGTGAGGTAGCTGAGGAGATAGGAGATCTCCAGCACCATGAATGTGAACACAAACCAGGAGCGCATACATGGGGAGAGGGAGTTCCAGTGGGTGAAGACAATGGAGTGACTGTACCTGATCGTGATGAGTGGCAGCGGCTCGATCGCAACAAGAGTGAACCAAATGGACCATGGAGGTTACGTTTAACCTGTTTACAAAGACTTGACACTGCAGGAGTCTCAGCTGCACAACTGAACACCAGTGCTGGCATGTTCGGCAGGTGATCACTAGTTGGTTGAGAGAGTGGCAGTGATGTAGTAGAGTGCACTGGAGTCAATGTATTATGCCCTGGCATCAATGGAGGTGATGAAAGCACTGAGGAATGGGGTATGGGTGCATCTTGTGAAGATACCCGTTCTTCCATGGGTTTGATGCAATGGGCAATCAGGTTGGCATAGCGGTTTTGGTTCTTTTCAAGACTCTCTTGTGCTAAGTGGATCACATTGAAAAGCCATGTATACAAACAGGCATTAAGGAGCGGTCGAGGTCCACGTGGATGGGAGATGGGTTTAAAAGGGAAACCAAGAACTGTAGACAATCGACTTGATTTTGGGGCATCTGAATCGAGTGTAGGATGTGTTACCAATGCGAGAGGAGCGATTGGAGATGGTGGAAGGGCCGGAGCAGGAGAAGGTTGTGAAAATTTCGAAGATTTGATGCAGAAATCCTCCCCAAGCCTTCTAACTTGTTCTATCCACCTGAAACATGTCTCTACATCCAATCCCTGTTCCTTTACACCCCAACAACACCTCAAAGTCACAGTTTTCACCACAACATCCACCAATGACTGGCAAGTAGATGAAAGTCCCTCCTGGTCCCAGTACTGCTTGAAATTGAGCAGCTGTTCTTGTATTCCTTGGGAAGACAGGTCAAACAATACAACTGGAGAGGATGAAGCATCTGGAAGATGCAGAGAGCGAACAGAAGAGAGAAAAGAGAAGGCCAGAGCCATGACAGTGTCATGGCTTGAGTTGTGCTGTATTTCTGACATATTTGCTGTAATAGTCCTATACAGGACAAGATAGCTTAAAAAAGTGTAAGGCCTCAGACCTCAGACATAAGCTATACCTCGTTCTATTGCAGTAATAGGCGAAATACGGGTAATCTGAGGGTAAGAGGTTCGTCATTATGTAATAGCGGCACCACTATGTAAGGGGGGTAGGGGCCGATGGGCCATAGCCATTACAACTACTGCCAACTTGAACATTTTGGCTTTTCCAGATCCTCTGCTGCTGAGTTGACTATACTTACTCAAACATTGGCTTGTCATCAACAACTTGCTCCAGGACTTCAGCCATGGGATTTTTGGGCTTGGCCAATGGACCACTGACTCAAGCATAAAGGTACTATGCATCCTGAGGGTAATCTGTATGACTCAATCTGGATTCAATTAATGCATAGCACATTCAGTGGTCATAGATGTACAATACATCCATCATGCTAAGTGCATTAATCTCTCGTCAATTACATGGCTTGACAGTTATTGGGCCTACTTACTCCAGAGTCCAGCAATTTTTAGGGAAGAATATTTGTTGAGGGCACCCCACATGAAGAACTTAGAAAAGTGCGGGAAAAGTGCCATTGACTCTGCCGCTATGCTGGATTTGCTTGGGTAAAAATAAATAATTTTGAGCACTTATGATTTAGTGCACAGCGATGACTCCAGGATGGAAGGAAGCCAGCACTTTGATTGGATGCATTTTGAAAGTTGCACTTGCCGGAACAGCCGCTGCGTGGAAATTGCTGATGTAAATTATTTTGAGCATCTAAACAGCCTTTATTTAGAGTATAGGATATACATAATAAAAAAATTTTGCACACCCCTTGTCTCATATATTACACCATTTGGGAATTGAACCCAAGGCTCGAGCCCCTTGCTCAAACGAGTCCAGGATGAAGTTGGAATGAAAACAACAGAAGGCAAGCATGATAACCACTTCACCAACGGTGTATAGGTAATAGTTAGGTTTCCAACTGAACATCAAGCAAAAAAGTGCCCACCATTGTTTCATGGGACAGGACTGCACCTATACAATGCATCAAAATTCTAGCTTGAACAAGCAAGAGGACATGGTGGATTTGGGATTTGAGATGATTTGGAATCGGTGAGTGCACAGGAGCTAGAACTTTAATTGTATATATGCAATGTGTAAGGATCTAGGCGGAATCCTTCAAGCGCGGGTTACAAACCTGGAAACCAAAGTGCGGATACGCTCCGTACTGCCGTCGTTCAGCTGAACTGGGAAAGTTGGTTTGAGATGTGAAAGGATGTGAGTGTAGAACGGTTCCGAAGTGCCTATGGGATGTAAGACTCGTGTCGGGATTGTCCAAGGGACTAATGTAAGGACGGCAGGTCCGTACAGGCGATAGAATGAACTCGGCGAGTAAGCCTAAGAGTAGATGAGTTTCCAACTCGAAGGGTAGGACCCACTAAGTGCAAGCGGCTTTGATAGCGATATGAGCGGAAGCGGAAGGTCAAGCGGTAGCTGACCTGATGCGACGCAAACAGAGCGGAACCAAATAGATGATAGTAGATTGCAGAGGTTGTGAAAATGATGGAGTGAAGAAACAGAGTTAAAGAAACAGATAAAGCGAGAAACCAGAACACACAAGAGCACACGAGTCAAGAGGTTAAGCAATATTTCCAATCTACTGTACTTGACATGGTACAGAACTATATAAAGGGTACTCGAGGACCGGAGTAGCGATAGGTAATAATCTGAGAGTAGAAAAGACAAGAATAGCCAAAAGAAGTACAAGGGATGAAAGACAACGATGAACATAAGCGGAAGCAGCGGGATGAGCATAAAGCATATGTATGATTGTAAGAATGATGGAGAATGGATCGACGGGATCATAGAAAGTGTACAGTGAAGGAAAAAGTAAAACGGAAGCAAAGTGGAAGTGTATTGGAACCGGAAATGCGGCGGAAGCGGGTGATGTAACAGTAAGCGGGAAACGTTGGCAGTCTGTATATGCCTAGGGCATGACACAATGAGAGCTCAGATTCCAGAGAACACTACTTAAACATGGAGATTTCCTTTCTGTTAAGCTGTCCTGTCGTGACTCGTCGCTGTTAACTTCAGGTATGAAAAAAACAGAGACGAGGAGATTCGAGAACAACTGGATACACCGTTTGGGAATCAAACCCGTGCCGCTTGCTTAAATAAAGGAGTCGATCAGTCGATGGAAGGCAAGCATGATAACCACTTCACCAACGGTGTACAGATTAGTAGTTAGGTTTTTGCATCAATATCAAGCCAAAGAAAGCATACCATTTATTTATGGGAATCAAGACCGTACCTATACATATACAATGCAAAATTTCACCAACAAGCAAGGGGAATAATGGTAAACTCATTCGGGATTTGAGATCACTTGGAATTGGCGTTGGTGAGCGCATGGGAGCTAGAACTTGTATGCAACGAGAGCTCAGATGTCAGAGAGCTTTCCTTTCCATTAAGCTGTCCTGTCATGACTTGTTGCCATTAAAACTTAACGCTGATCCTTGAACATTGATATTGAGTGATATTGAGCTCTGAGCACTTGAGCGTCGACATCGACAAATTGCTGTCGAAAGGCAATTACTTAGCTGGGATCAGTGGAATTGAATGCCCTGAGCAGGAAAGCAAATGCAATATCCGAATACCTAACTGAAACACTAGGAAACACTTGGATAACTCGATGTTCTCACATTGAGAAAACCCCAAGAGAACCCATTCCACAAATGAGCGGAACAATTACAAAGGTCTCTATTTGTAAATAACAAAAACTATGAAGGGGAAGTATTGAAACATATATCACACCGTTCGGGAATTGAACACGAGCACTATTGAAGCTTTCGGCCTATGAAGATTCAACGGAAAGCAAGCTGCAAGCATGATAACCTCTGCACCAACAGTGTGTGGGTACTTATTGTAGTGATTTTTCAAAAGATATTCTACAATTTTTGTACAGCTGAGAGTGGGCCAGTCCACCAGATCCTCAGGCCATAATGGCTATCAATAGTTGTTCAATAGCTTGCAATTGACCCAACACATTTAGAGCCAACTCAAGTTACACAAATAAGGTGGAACAAACATCTCCATTTGTTGGAAAAAATTTCACAAGGTAAGCATGGACATGTACATCACACCGTTCCGGAATCAAACCCAAGTACTAGTACTTATTGAAGCTTTGAAGCTTCAAAGGAAAGCAACCTGCAAGCACTGTGATAATGCCTGCATTAATGGTGTGTGTGTATTGTAGTGATTTTTGTACAGATGAGAGTGGGCTGGAGCCTCAGGCCATAATGGTATTATTGTTATCAATAGCTTGCAATTAATTAGACCCAAAGCTGAGCTGGAACCCATTGCTTCCACGCTGTTTGAGGTGGGTCCAAAGAACGGCAGAGTCAACTTTGAATTTGAACTTCAAAGGTGCGCAAGGAGGGAGAGCCTAGAGGTGTGTTGATATCAAACACATCCTCGTCTTCTTCACCGCTATTCCGCTATTGGATTCACTATTCCTGATGTAAAAAAACATCTTCGAGGCTCTTCTGTGTATTAGTCGGAAACTTGAAAAGGCGCTCATAAGCGGCATAATCGCCATAATTCAAAGAGCCGTTTATAAACCCTGAGGGTTTATAACTATGGCTTAAAATTATGGGGTTTATGGGGGTTTGTAACCTGGTTACAATGGCTGATAAGTGAAATTAATGCCATAAACCCCATAATATTAAGTAATAGGCATGCTCAATTAATAAATCTGGTTTCGTGGCTTTCCACAATTTGTAATAAATTACTAGATATGGAATTTTTGATGGGAATTGAACCAGATACTTTTTAATCTTTGTCGACTCGCACCTGTATTTACGAAGGCGTGAATTCACAAAATTTTGCGCGCTGGTTATACTGATGGCCAGAGGCCTCCCAGCACCTAGTAAGACATCTTCAACCCCAGAAAGAAACAGTAATCATAGTGCTACTGGGAGTCTTGTACGTGTTCTCATAAATATTATTATTGCTCTTTTCAAAAATAATGGTTTCTGGAAAAAAAAAAAAAAAGTTTAGTTCGAAGAGCATCCAACACAGCCAGCACAGAGCTGTAATGGTCCTGAACTTTCCTTTTTTGGAAATAATTGACAATTCGATTGAGCGGGGTGGTCGTGGATTTGCCTTTTTTAGAAATTACTGAATGATTCTGATGGAGTATAGTGGTCCTGGCTTCCTTTTTTGGAAATACCTAACGGTCTGAGTTGGCTCCAGACTTTCCTTTTTGGGGAATATACGCCTCATCTATACATTGACATTGTTGGCCTGATCAGAACTTTTTTTTTTTCCTGAAGCCATTATTTTTGAAAAGAGCAATAAAACCAAGCTAGTAGGAAGATTTGTTATACCCTCCACGAGCCTCAAACTACAAGTGTTTCTTGCATCAGAACACTGCAGTATTCTCAGGTATCTCTACCTCTTCCTCTCAGTCATCTATCAGTAGATCACTATCCCCAACTTCATCCAGAGCATTGGATACAGCAAGAGGAGCACAGGCTAAGCTTAAAAGCTTATCCTGAGTCTTTGCCTTGGTCATTAACGCGCTCGATGTGGACCGATGAGCCAAAACGGAAGAAAATCGTGAGGAGCACACGCCATCAAAAAATTCTATATTCGGTATACAAATTGCGGAAAGCCACGAAACCAGATTTATTAATTGAGCACGCCTAATAGTTATAAGCCCTTTTTCATTTTTCCGACATTTTACTGCAGTGATATTCGGTAGTGAAACACGGCCAGAGATGGATGAAAGAATAAAAAATAGCAGAAGGGATTCTTCTGCACAATACACCGTTCGGGAATCGAACCCGAGCCGCTTGCTGACTGAAATCAACGATGAAATGAAATGGAAGGCAAGCATGATAACCACTTCACCAACGGTGTACGCTTATACCCCGTTTACATCGTATAACTTCGACCTAATTTATTCACTGGCTCAAGCCAAGAAAAAAGCGCCCATACATAAAGTTCTTTCATGGCATCACTCTACGATGCAACATTCTGGCAACACGCGCGAGCACAAAGTCTGAAACCCGGTGGATTCGGAAAATACAGGGTTAAATACTGGTACGTCTCTTCTTCCCTTTGCCCAACACAGTTACAAACTGATAACAGGACCAAGCTGCTCAACGTCACCGCCGACAATGAAGAATCCACGGCACAATTTGCTACACTCCCAAAACACGCCGATGAACGACAAATCCGCCTCGACACGGACCGCAGCTTCGTTATGTACCCAGATGGCGACGTACAAGACTACCAAGAGACTTTAAACGAGTTAATTGTACACATATTCCGGAAACATACGTCTCTATCCTATTTCCAAGGCTTCCACGACATAATCACCGTTATATTACTCACTCTTCCTCCGGACCTGCGTTTTCCCTGTGCCGAAAAAGTGAGTCTACATATGACACGCGACGCCATGGGTTCAGGGCTGGAGCCCGTCCTCGGCCTGCTGCGATTTTTGTCTAAACTTGTAGGCACGGCCGACCCGCAGCTGGCGGGGCTGCTCAAACAGGCGGCGCCGCTGCCGTATTTCGCGCTGAGCCATCTGCTGACGATGTTCGCGCACGATGTGCCGACGCTACCGCTCATACAGCATATCTTTGACTATCTACTCGCGAGACCGCCGATTGCAGTTGTGTATCTGGCGGCGGCGATGATGCTTGAGAGGAAGGATGAGTTACTGGCGTTTGCGAGCGATGAGGATGGTGATTTGGGGATGTTGCATTCGCTGCTGGGAGCGTTGCCGCGGCTGAGTGATGATGTTGAGGAACCTGTGGCCAAAAGCAGTTCACATCCTGTGGAAACGGCGTTGGACAACGAAGAAACTGTGGCTGGCGATGGTGATGAAAGTGGTTCACGAGCGTTGGACAATGAAGAAAGCTTTTCTAGTTCTGCCTCCGACGTTACAGACTCGGACACACTAGCAGACTCCGAGCCATACTCTGAATCAGAAACCGAAACGGGCTCAGATAATGGTGACAACTTGTACACTAAACGATTGCCTTCAATACCTTCTCACTCTCCTTCGCCATCCTACTCTGTAACACCTACACTTTCCACCACTTTAGAACCATCGCAGACCGAAGTACAACCTCCTCCGTCTCACCCGACCTATTCACCCACATCTTCGCCAACGAAGCTACCTCTTCCACCCGCAGACACTTTAAATCTATCATCACCCTCACCAACTCTTCACAGCCGAGACAGCTCCTCATCTTCCTCATCGTCCGAACCAGATACGCACGATACCCTCAATTCCGCTAAAAAGCGCCATATTCCATTGTCCACCCTCCTCTGCGCCGCAGATACTCTTCTAGACACATATCCGCCATACCCGGAATACCCACAATCAATCCGTTCCCCCTCTTCCACCTCTTCCGTAGAGCCATCCACAGATACAGATACCGCAGACCTCTCTTCCGAACCCAACGATGCTTCCCAATTCCAAATTCAAAACACCTCCCTCATTCCTCTCCTCGCCTCCACCATGGGCCCCCTCAGCGTCGTGTACACCTGGTCCGAAGACCCCGCGGGCCTCCCACGCGACGCCGACGCAGCAAATATGGTCCACGACACTTCGCAATTGGTGTATCCATGGGATCCATCCCTCGACGAGGACCAGGCCGAAGACCAGCCATCTTCAGGCGAAGACAAGAAGGTTCAACGACAAAGGAGGAGCAAGCTCCCGTTACCGCTCTTACTTCGTCGTTCGGAAGTAGTAATCGGCGCAGGCGCGGGTGCGGTGCTAGTTCTTGCTATTGCATTGGCGGTGTTTGGGAATCGTGGTACTGGAGGTTGGAGGAGCGAACGGTTTCCGTTGGAGAGGGTGTTGGGGTTTTTGGGAGCGTGGGGGGCGTTACTTGGTTGGGGATAGTCGAGATACTGTAAGATTGTGATTGAGCCTTCTGGAACGTTTGGAGCAACGTTTCTACTTAGATTCCTTGGTACTAATTCAGCGTCACTAATTATGACGAAACAAACTTTAACAGTTATAACAAAACTAGAAATGTAAAGACAAAATCATAAATATGAAGTGGAGTGACTTCTTTCAAACCCTACCTATCTACGCTCGCCCAAAGCCCCTAACTAATCAACTAACTAACAACTCAAGTACCCAATCCATCCATCAAAATACACCCCTCACTCCTCCAAAATCCTCGCCTTTTCTTCTGGCCTGCTAAAAAACGGACTATGGCCCGCCCGAATCTCCTTTTTCAACTTCAGGCCATTGCCACTACGCTCGATTAGACCCTCGAGTAGAAATCCTGTGCCGAAGGCGGCAAAGCCTTGTCTTCCGTGGGTTTCAAGAACGCGAGATGGCGCAGTGGTCTCTTATACGATGTAAACGAAAGGCAAGCATACACCGTTGGTGAAGTGGTTATCATGCTTGCCTTCCATCTTCAGCTTATTTATTTGTTGGGTCAGCAAGCGGCTCGGGTTCGATTCCCGAACGGTGTATACCCAACCAAGTCTGCTAATACTTTTTATTCTTTCACTCATCTCCGTGCCCTGAGGCCGATTGTCACTGATTTCGCTACTTGTAACCTTCAACCAATATCCCTACAGAAGGGAAGGATGTGTTTGATTTCATGACACACCTCTCCACCTCCTCGCGCAGCGGCACCTTTGTTCACAGTTGCCTCCGCCGTTGTTGACTCTTTGGACCTATAGTACCCCGGGGCCACAGCATCGGCTATCATGGAATAGCATGGAATCCGTGTGGAAGAGCCTTAGTGTACAAGCAGCGGAACGACCGAGGGCCATACTCCAGCATATTATGATGCCGTAGGATCTGGGCACCACTTGTAAAGACTATTCACCAGTTGGGGAGGATTTAACCGGTACTGTCCCAAATATAAACAACCGCACTACACACAATCACATCTTGCACACATCGCGCGACGGGCCCGATATCTGCCTGATATGATGGGAGATCCTGAGCAATATGAGGTATTTTAAAATGTATACACGAGTATCCATACAATACACCGTTGGTGAAGTGGTTATCATGCATCAGAACACTAAATCGTCGGGTGAGCTTGAAGCAGGTCGGGTTCGATTCCCGGACGGTGTATGGTTTGGTTCTGCAGCGGTGCATATTATGACTAGTTTTTTCTTACAAATGGAGACGTTTGTTCGCCTTACTTGTGTAACGGGTTTTATTGCGAGAACGGGGAGCTATGGACTCTCCTCCGAACCCAACGATGCCCCAAAGACGATGCCTCCCAAACCCAAACCCAAACCACCTCCCTTATCCCCCTACTGTACATGTTCTCTACTTATGGGGCCCATTAGCATCGTCTTCACCTGGTTCGAAGACCCCGCGGGCCTTCCAAGCGACGCAGACGCCTGGCAGTGAATATGGCCCATGACACTTCGTAACCGGTATACTCATGAGTCATGAGATCCATCCCTAGACGAGGGCCAGCCTGAAGATGGCGATTGTAGATAATCGAAGATCCAGTGTATATACATACATACCGTGACATGCATACATTGCTTGAACATGCTGTAAACTGTTCACTTGTTGTTGGCATATAAACTCCGTTATGCCTCAGTTATTTTACCTCGGTGTGCCAAAGTTACCGAAAAAGATAACTACATACAGAGACAATCTCGCCAAGATCTTGACCTGTGATTTTTTGACACCTACGTATGCGGTCTGGGATCAGAAAAGAAAGGCGGAGGCGTTAAATTCGTGCTGCTTACCTCGACCGTGTTTGCAGCCTCCCCCTCTGTCTCGTCCTGGATTTGACCAATCTCCGTGAATTTTTTCTTCAAACGCTTCATTCTCTTCTCTCTCTTCCTCAGACTCTCCAAAAGTAGCGCCAATTTTGAGGACAGGTTCCTCGTCGAAGTGCGCAATTGCAAATTGGGATATACCCAAGAAAGGCGATGGTGCAGTCATGCTGGTTACCTCAACGGGAGCGTTCCTCTCTGTCTCGTCCTGGATTTGGCCGGTCTCCATGATCTCTCTTTCAAACTCTTCATTTTCTTCCCTCTCTTCCTCGGAGTCGGATTCTCCGAAAGTAGCATCAATTTCAAACCCAACTTCCTCCTCAACTTCCTCCTCAGCGTTGGCCGCTGAATGCACGGTCATACCACCCCAGGGCTGGAACAATTCTGGGATTAGTTTCATGTGGCGTAAATAATCGGAAGACGCTTACGCCTCTACGGAGGAACTTGGTAAAGATGGCAAGCTTGAAGCCAGTCCCACCATACGCGACAACGAGTGACCCATCAGTCTGCAGAAAGTCAGAAACCAAACACGAGCACAGGACGCAGATACAAACCTCCGACGCCTTGTATGTCGTCCAACCCTCACTGTTGCTCTTCACCAACGACGACGCACTAACTCCACCCTTCGCAATCCCGGTAGATCCAACCTTCAAACCACCGCTCGCATCCCGACTATGTGCACTTTCCATTTTGATCTGGCACTCATCGGTGGACCAAGTTTTTGAAATAGCCCACAGTCCATGATCAGCGATTTCGCACCTGTATTTACTTCGCACAAGAGCCTTCCCATTAGCCTTGATCCAATCCTGGATCGGACCTCTAGGCGACCGCCAGAACTTGTCCTCCACTACATGATTGTTCGTGATGAGCGCCGCCTTTCCGGTCTTGCCCCATTTGTTCTTTCCCTTGGCCGCGAAGTCAACGGGAGCAGCAGACAGGGCGCCAGAGACGCCTCCCTCAACTCCGAAGCTATGTTCACCCTCACTGCCCGAGGACCGAGTCTTCCATACTGAGGTCTCAGGAGGCGCCCTGGTCAGGGTGTGGCCAAAGGGCATGTACCCATCTTCCTCGAGGCGACCAGGCTCTGAAAGGTCAGTGACCTGGATGAAGGTCCCGTGCTTGTCAAAACACCCAATCGCACCGGGGTGGCACTCGCTAAACGGCTGCGGTCGGAATAGATAGCGCCCAGTGCCATTAGGGCTCATGAGCTCGGCATATTCTTCGTGGACGGTGGGAGCCATTGATGTAGTTTGATAGGTATCTCCTCGAGGGGGCAGCTTGGTTATATATGTATCTGGGTATATGATTTGACGTTGATACTTACGTTGATTGGTGTAGGGGTTTATCAGGGTTTATCGATGGCCCGTCGACGTCTGGATCCGAATAGTAGAAGTGGTCACATTTGGGGAAGGGATGTAAAGATTTCTGAGTACGTACATATGTTGTAAGTACATATGTTATGGCTTTCCGTCAAGCGCATTGACAGAAATGTTAGTGTACTTGTTGGGATTAATGACAACGGAACCACGATAAAATCGTGTACCATTCAACAGCAAAAAGGCTAGCGCCGGAGGGAGAAACGCCTCGCGGCATCCGCGAGGCTCAGATAGCTTACAGATATCTATTTAGATACATCTCAGGATACCCACAATCACCCCGTTCCTCCTCTTCCACCTCTTCTCCAGATCCCTCTAAAGATACAGATACATCAGAAATCTCCTCTGGACCCAACGATGCTTCCCAATCCCTAAACGATGCCTCCCAACCCGACCCTTCCCAAACCCAAACCCAAAACCTAATCCCAAGATTCAGACACCTTCCTCCTCTCCTTTACCATGGGCCCCCTCAGCGTTGTCTACACCTGGTCCGAAGACCCCGCGGGCCTCCCAAGCTATGCAGACGCAGCGGATATCGTCCCCCATTACCGGTGCTGCTTCCTCGTTCGGAAGTGATGATTGACGCGCGCGCGGGTGCGGTGCTGGTTCTTGCTATTGCGTTGGTGGTGTATGGGAATCGTGGGATGAGGAGCGAGCGGTTTCCGTTGGAGAGGATATTGGGGGGCGTTATTTGGTTGGGGATAACCGATACTGTAAGATTTGTAAAACCTTCTGGAGCGGAGCAACCCAGTTTCTACATTCCGATTCCGATTCCATTTGTACTAATTCAACGTCGCAATTGTAACCAAAAATGTAAAGACAAAATATAAATATCCAGGGGGTGATTTCTTTCAATTCCTATCTACGCTCTACCTAACAACTCAAACCTTCAAAATACACCCCCCACTCTTCCAAGATCCTTGCAGTTTCTTCCGGCTTGCTCAAAAAACGGACTATGGCTAGCCTGAATCTCCTTTCTCAACCACTTCACGCCACTACCCTCGATTATACCCATAATATAATCCTGTGCCGAAGGAGCAAAGCCTTGTCTTCCGTGGTTTTCAAGAATGCGAGACGGCCTTCGAATGCGGCTTCTGTGGCTGCGGATGGACCTGGGGCTGTTTCAAAGACGTGGAGGGCATGTGGAAGTAATGATTTTATCGTTTTTTGGGCTATTGAGCATGGAGGGGTCAGTCTTCAGAACATTCTTCTGAAGAAGTATTCGATAGATGAACGCATACCTAAATCGTCATCCACATCATGGAAGAAAACCTCTTTCGGATTCTCGACTTCGCAAAGGCCGAGAGTAGGCTATCAAGTCAGTGCATAAGTAAGGGTTATACAAGCCCGTTCAACATTAGCAAAAACAAAATCGATAATCACCTTGTCCAACCGCACGTAATCCGCATGCTTTCCAGTCCCCTGCATCATGCTCATCCCCTCTATTCCCGTGAACCCTGCGATATTAATAATACCAATCACACCCCCCTTCTCTCCCCTTTCCCTTCTTCCTGCGACATGCTCCCCATACGCAGCCGCACATCCTATCATCCCACCAAACGAATGATTCACCACTACCACCTTCACTCCTTCGTCATGGTTCCCCTGATCTTGTTCCCCAGAGAGCACGGAGCGAAGCAGGAGCCGCACGGCAGCGGTGTCTTTCGCAACGCTCACATCCGCAGGATTCGGGGGGTTCAGACTAGGATATGCTGCGATGGAGGCTTTGAATCCATGCTTTTGGAGGGTATCGGCGAGAAGGAAATAGGCTTGGGCGGGATGCCATGCGCCTGGTACGATGAGGAATTGGATCGCCATGGGATGTTATGGTGTAATGGTAAGGAAACAAGGGATGTTTTAGCCGCAGACAGACAGGCTTTAAGACAGGCTTTATAGCCCCTCTTTTTCCCGTAATCTTCCGCGGAATTTATTTCAGGAGGATTTCGGGCATGGTTTTTGTGTGTTATATTTTAGTTGGGGCGCTGGCACATATCTATTATTTGAAGGATGATAACTTTGAGTTGGTGAAACAATGAACTATTTATGTAGGTGTCGTACACTGACTAATAAAGTAAGACCGTGAATAAAGAAGGCAAGTCAAAGCTGTTGATACTAGGAACGAAGTTGGAAAGTCAAAGCTGTACTCTACGTGAGAATAGCTACCAAGTTGTACAAAGGGAAGAGATAGTATATATGCTATGTCCTACTCACAGTATCGAGGGAGAAGATGTTCTCCTGCAGATTCCTCGAAAAAAGTACCAGAAAGGAAGTTGTCATCTCGGTTTACTTACGGTAAAATTCGGTAAATACTAACATTCACCCCCGGCCTTACCTGGCCTTACTTGCAAAGGCAACGTTGATAGTAGAGATTTGAGGGGGAATTTTTGTGTAGCCAATGGATTCGTGCCAAGTGTTGTCGTACACGAGAAATGTGAGCTTCAAAGACTTCTCGACCTTACTGTACTTTAAGGTCATGGCAATAAATCTAGGTACTAAGGAGGCGGCCAGAGTAGCCAACTCGTGCATAAGTAATTACTTCAAAATCATCTCCTAGCATTAAGGATATACATATAATCATTTTCAGATTATTCAAGGCAGGTTCACTGCCAATAGCTGGTGAGTCATTTCGGTTTCCAGTCACCTTGTTTTTTGAGTCTGTTTGTAACAAAAGAACCTTTCTTTGAACCTACCTTTAGGAATGTATTCTTCCATCGCGTTATTGGAGATCAGACAACCCACTGTTATAAGGATTTGTATCCACATCGCAGATTAGAGCTCCGAGTCAACACAAGCATAAAAAGGAGTCGGGTGTACTACGTTGTAATTTGATAGGAACTTGATAGACTACAGCGTCGTAATTGAGTTCTATCTCTGACGATATTTGGATCATCATCGGATGAGGAGAATATCTAGACTATCTACGTATCTACAGCAAAACATGATATCAGGGTGTGATTGCAGTGCCTATGTTTTGCTTTTGCTCTCATCCAGGTATCCAGTCTTTGTCACAAAGATTGGATGGTTGTTGTATACTTAAGCAAAACATCAAGTAGATATATATATCTATGTATGAATTGTACACAGGAGATCTGAGGTAGGGGAATCTACCTCCGAGGGCCCGAAAAAAAACAGCGCGAGATCGGCAAGATATAATACACCGTTCGGGAATCGAACCCGAGCCGCTTGCTACCTAAGAATTTACCCAAAGATACATGAAACAAATGGAAGGCAAGCATGATAACCACTTCACCAACGGTGTCATGCACCTGCTCATCTGCATACAAATTGTTACAAGCCAGTGATTAATTCAAGCCAAAAGCACCCGTATTGCAAAACTTTGACAGCATAGAACCAAGAATACTTCGCATTTTATCGCTAGCAACTACACGAATATAGAAGGGCCCATCCTCTAAGATATAAAGCTTTCTGTCTGGGTTACCTCAACCATGTTCTCAGCCATCAACTTGGCAATCGCGGCCCTCCTCTCTGTCTCGTCCTGGATTTGATAGGCCTCCATGATCTTTCTTTTGAACTCCTCTTTCTCCTCCTCAGAGTCTTCATCCTCAGACTCGGACTCTCCGAAAGTAGCACCACTTTCCAGGACGACTTCCTCCTGAGCTTCCTGTTGGGCGTTCATTTCGTCAACGAGCTTCTCCTTTTCTTCCGCTGCCTTCCTTTCGGCCTCTTTGTCGATCTTCTCTTCCCCGATCGCCTTGCCATTCTCGTCGAATACGGTTCTGTAGTACTCGAATCCGGTCTGATTTCCGTTCTCGTCAAAAATGAGCTTGATGTACTCGTTGGCATCGGCAGTTCTGGTTTCGGTTTCTTTGAGGTACTGGATCCATTTGGGGGTTAGTTCATGTCGAGTAAATCATCGGAAAACGCTTACGCTTCTACCGAAAAATTTGGTAAAGGTGGCAAGCCTGAAGCCAGTCCCACCGTACGCGACAACGAGTGACGCATCGGCCTGCAGAAATTCAGAAACCAAACACGACCAGAGGATGCGGACACACAAACCTCCGATGCCTTGTATGTAGTCCAACCCTCACTGTTGCTCTTCACCGATGACGATGCATTAGCTCCACCCTTCGCAATACCAGTAGCTCCAACATTCAAACCTCCGCTAGAATCCCGACTATGGGCACTTTCCATTTTGATCTGGCACTCATCGGTAGACCAAGTTTTCGAAATAGCCCACAGTCCATAATCAGCGATTTCCTTCCTGTATTCACCTTTTACAAGAGCCTTGGCATTAGCCTTGATCCAATCCTCGATCGGACCTCTAGGTGAACGCCGGAACTTCTCCTCCACTATAAGATTATTGGTGATAAGTGCCGCCTTTCCGGTCTTGCCCCATTTGTTCTTTGCCTCGGCCGCGACGTCGATGGGAGCAGCAGACAGGGCACCGGAGACGCCTCCCTCAAGTCCGAAGCTATGTTCAGCCTCACTACCCGAGGACCTAGTCTTCCATAGCGTCGTCTCAGGAGGCGACCTGGTAAGGGTGCGGCTAAAGGGCGCATACCCGTCTTGCTCGGGGCGACCAGGCTCTGAAATATCTGTAACCTGGATAAAGGTTCCGTTCTTGTCAAAACATCCAATCGCACCGGGGTGGCACTCGCTAAATGGTTGGGGTCGGAATAGATAGTACCCAGGTCCATTAGGGTTCATGAGCTCGGCATATTCTTCGTAGACGGTGGGAGCCATTGTGATGTGGTTTGATAGGTGGGTCAATGTCGGTTTGAGAGATATTTTTCGTGTCCTCCTAGAGGGGCAGCTTAGTTATATACGTATCTTGGTCTGTGGATTGACGTTGATGTTTGAGTCGAATCCGAATAGTGGAAGTGACGACATTTTAATTTTTGGGAGACTTTGTGGGAGACTCTATGATGGCCCTGAGATCTCCTGAGATGGCCTCTTTATCGATGCGATTACAGATTCGACCCACTACATCCCATACTTATAGGCAGGTTGATTACCAGCCCTTCAGTTCATCGTGCTGTTGACGAACCCACTGTTTCTGGATCATGGCACGATATGTATTGACCAAGTGAAAGGTAAGAGCTTGCTATCAGAGATACCAAGAACAATTTTGACATGCCGTATGCAGGCCACCTGTTTCCTCCAGCTGCGGGGTGTTTACGACGATCAGTGGAGAGGCGGACGTCTAATTCACCCAGTAGGTGGCTCCCATGACATGGATCAACTCCACATGTTGACGAACCACGATAAAATCGTGCGACTAGAGCCTGGTGTTCTCTTACCTTAATACCCCGTTGTCTCGAATGGCTGAATGGAAAATCGAGAAGAAGATGTAGCGTCCTAGAGGTAGGGGTACAAAGTTATCTCATTGATATGACAAGAATCTTTTCTGGTGACCTTCCCAAAGAATGAGCATCAGTTTAATCTATTCGTTCGATGCAGACTGTAGTGTGAGGACCAGGCATTTCCCGATGCCCATTCCTGGAAGCTTCTTCATCAATTTAGTGCTATAAAATATATTGGTTTGCACTTTCCACTTGGCAGGTTATCAATATACCCCAAGTTCAAGTTGTTAACATATCTCTATTACTAATTTGAGCCCAAACTCCCAGCCAATGATACGCAAGAACCTGAAGAAGCTGATGTTGAGCTGATGGAACATATAACGCACATGCGCTTATTGGTGAGAACGGAACGAACGAAAATCATTTTTGCCAGGTCATGAGAACGAAGGGCCCTCACGCCCTGGAAGTATTCATGATCTCTGCTCGGTGACTATGAGCATTATGGACCAATTCATCAATCCCGGCCTCAGCCTCAGCCTTTCAAGACCTGTGAGCTTTGCTATTGTGGTCATCGGGATATACCTTGCCGTCACTCTTAGCAGCTCAAAGCGGAGGCGAGGACTTCCCCTACCACCTGGCCCCAAGCCTGAGCTGTTCATAGGCAATGCACGCCAGCTGCCAAAGGGGAAGCAGTGGATTACCGCGTCACAATGGGGGAAGGATTATGGTCAGTGCTCTTTCCTCGTCTCACGTCCCTCTATGAAGCTACCAACTTTGACGATTACTGAAAAAAGGCGACCTTGTATATGCGCGGATCCCCGGAAAATCGATATTATTCCTGAACTCAGTTAAAGCTGCGAATGATTTATTGGAGAAGAGGTCAAAGATATATTCTGACCGTACACATAGTACTATGATCGATCTGTAAGTCCTTGATTCTGCCCTGAGTGCGCATCGTTGTCTTGACTCATTTGTTTTACAGAACAGGATGGGCCTTCAACCTCCTCCACATGGGATACAACGACGAATGGCGCAAACATCGACGGATGTTCCAGCAGATGTTCCGGCCCGATGCTGTAGGAGATTATCAGTCCATTCAAAGAAGGAAGATACACGAGTGGCTTAAGAGGCTGTTAGAGACTCCGGGGCAGTTTATGCAACATAATACTTTGTATGTCTTCCATCCCTGCCTATCATATCTAACGTTTTGCCGTCCATTTCCGAGTATGCCGTTTCTTCTTTCCCTGACTATGTGCTTTTTCTCTTCGCAGACTCTCGATCTCAATCATGATGTCTATCGTGTATGGCTCTTCCGTCGACTCCATCGACGATCCCCTCATTCACATTGGGAAACAAGCCATGGGTATCATGTCGGACTGCCTGGTTCCAGGGAAATTTCTTGTGGAGACCTTTCCTTTCTTGAGATATCTGCCTACATGGGTTCCCGGGTGTGGATTTTTGAAGTATGCGGAGAATGGGACAAGGTTAACAAGGGAGATGCAATTTGTGCCGTTTGAGGCTACGAAAGAAAAGATGGTCAGTGTTTGGTCTAGCTTCTTGAAGGCATGATTCTCTGAGACTTCGGTTGATATTGTAGAGAATGGGCCAGGGGAGCGAGTCCCTTGTTGCTGAATATCTTGGAGATACAGATCATATCGGCGGTCTACGCGGACAAGAGCGGGAGGACGTCCTTCGCCATGTCGCCACAACGTCTTATGCCGGTGGGGTCGACACGGTAAATGATTCTTTTGTCTTTGGACCTTACTCCAGCTCTACTGATTCCTTCCAGACTGTCTCGTCCCTCTCAACAATATTCCGCGCTATGGTGCTCAGCCCCTCTGCCCAACGAAAGATTCAGTCCGAGATTGACCACGTTACAGGCAGGAAGAGGCTTCCTGAATTTACCGACAGAGAGTTCATGCCTTACTGTGAAGCGGCGTATAGAGAGGTGATGCGATGGTACCCTGTTACGCCCCTGGGGATCGCACATACGACGAGTGAGGATGATGTTTATATGGGGTGGTTTATTCCGAAGGGTGAGTTGCTTTGACGCGATGGAGAAGAAAAGCTGACGTTGAGACTATGGATAGGAACGCAGTGTTTCCCGAACGTCTGGTGCGCATTATCAACCACGCATGATATCGCGGCTGATACTGAATAAATTTAGGGCCATGACTCGCGATGAGTCGAAATACAAGGATGCTGATCGTTTCATCCCTGAACGTTTCCTCGATGCAGATGGAAAACCCAACGATGACACTTTTGTCCCTGCTTTTGGGTTCGGCAGGAGGTTAGTACAGACAACGTCTTGGTTCATCCTTCTCACTATACATTGTAGAATCTGCGTTGGGAGATTCTTCGCCGACGCAACCGTGTGGTACACCCTTGTTTCCTTGCTCGCGGTGTTTGATATCTTGCCTGCTAAGGATGAGGACGGGAAGGATATCGACATAACGGAGTATGAGTATACTGATGGTGCTATTATGTGAGCCGTGTTTATGAGGTTGACTCTGGTAGCGCTGACAATTTGCTGGGCGAATCCGCAGTCATCCTTTACCATTTCCGTGTATCATCAAGCCGCGCTCGATAGAATCGATCACTATCATTGAAAAAGCTATCGCAACGGATATATAGAATATAGGGCATTGGTAGGGTATATTTTCTGATATTGTCTGTACAAAGTTGGTACAAAGAGAGCTCAATTTATATCATCAACTAAAGGAGTCGCCGGAGAGCGTTGTGTGAGGAGCATCATATGGCTGGAGATAAGTACTAATCAAAAAATGCCTCCTACGTATGTAAGTGCTGGTCCGAGCTTGCCCGAAATATTGCTCAAAATGTTTACTTGGAATCGACCATCGTTGGCGTATAAATGAGCCCGCGTAATGTCTAGGCTGCAGCAATATGTGCACAGTTCTTGTTTTTTACTATGCTTGGCCCTGGATTTCTATTCAATTGAACCGCTACTACTAGACAACCAGCAACTGATCAAGTT